GTAAAAAAGCAAACTTTTGTTCAGGGTTTTGCTAAAGACTGCAAGAAAACAAATGGGTCAGTGAGAAATTTGAACATCTCATGGTTCTTTAATCAAGAAGAAGAAGCAGAACGAAAATGAGTCGAGGGTACTTTCGTCAATATAAAAAACAGCTCATTGCTTAGTTTTGGTTATCGATGATGGGGTTTAAGAACAGACACGACACGACATAGGAATAAGAACAATAAGAGAGAGAGATATTGACTAATGAGGTCAAATGTACAAACGTATACGTTTGACTCGTTCCAAATCCTAAAGAGCGACTGTGATTTGTTGTTTCCTTCTTTTCATAAAACTTTCTTTCGAATCTTTTTTATTATTGTTTTTATGAAAATCTCAAAATATCACTTCAACGGTAATTTTGTCCCTCCTTAAACCAAAACACAACAATAACAATGTCACATATAAACTCTCTTTGTTACTACTAAGAAATGTCTGCACGATCAAGAAAATCAATAAAAGGCATTTCCTTGGAAATCTAGGAGGAAGTCTCAAGATCATAGCATCTTCAATCTTGATTGGAAGATGAGTCGCAACGATCACAATCCCTCCTTTTTTCCTATGTTCCGCAATGATAAACTCGAGCAATCTAGCACCTTCATCATCCAAAGCAACCGATGGTTCGTCTAAAAGCCAAATCGGTCTATCGATAGCGAGTAGCCTCGCAAGTTGTAACCTTTTCCTTTGACCCATTGACAACATTCTTGATTTCTCTTTCACTAATCTCCCTAAACCCATTAGCTCCAACGCGGGTTGAGCTTTGCCGATTTTGTTCTCGAGAAGCTCAAACCATTGGACATTGTCGAGTACCGTGAATCGTTCTTTGATAGCGTCTTTCAAAGAGATCCAATTGAGTTGGAGTTTGTATTGTTGAAAGATTCCTGATTGAGTAATGTCGTGACCGTTCCAAAGGATTTCTCCTGCGGATGGTTTCGAGAATCCAGCTAACATTCTCAAGAATGTTGATTTACCTGATCCATTGGTACCGGTTAAGACAAGCGCACCACCATCGTGGAGAGATACGTTCACGTGTCGTAGAATCTGCTGCGCGTTTCGCATACAAGATACGTTTTGAAGAAGAAGCCGAGGGATTTGAGGCATTTTGGGACAAGATCTGAAGAAACAGAGAGCACCGCATTAAGAGAAATGAGTAAATCTATGAAATAAGTGAAGACACAAACACTAGCTTTAAGCAGACCACAGTGCAAGCATAGACTCAATGGACAACAAAAACAAAACATTTGACAAAGAGAAAAAGACCAAATCCAAGACGTAATTGGAACAAAATCACATTCTTTTCGAAGATTAAACTGATGAAATCACAAACCGAACTTAATCAACCAACCGAGAGATTTTGTATCGATGGCAATCGATGGTTGAGCACGAAAACGAAGATTTTGCAGAGGAGACAATCTCTCTACACAGGAGAAAGAGAGTTGAGAGGAACCTGAAAATCGAAGAACAAGATGCGAAATGGTTCTTCCTTACGGTTTAGGGCTCCATGATAAACCGATCGACATAACCGGTTGATCGGTTTTTAGTGGATACACATGATTTTAGAATTGAACCGGTTAATTTTGTGATCAACCTTCATCATTTTGGATGCTCCCCTTGCTAATGAAAAAACCATTATCAAGTCTTTTTCATTCATCACAATCACTTCAAAGATTCCTTATTTAGCACTTATATGTTACATTAACGTTGTCATTTGAATCTATTTGTATGTTCTGAAGCAACACCGCCACAAAATCTCAAGACATGGACAAATTGATTTGCATTTATTATGTGTGTGTGGATCGAGAAAATTCCAACATGAGCTATTCAACATGCAAAGTCATTTGGTTTGGACTTTTGGGTCGGTTTTATTGCAGATTTAAAGTTATGAATAGATAATGAAACTCCAACTCTCATCTCATGCCGCACATTCAAAACTAAAACTTAATGTTTTATCAAATTTGTCATGTCATTCTAAAAACAATTGCGGACCTAAATCGTGGTAGGCAATCTTATGGGACCATACCACATTAGACATATCATGGATTTTCTCTAATGATTAAAATTAGGTGTTGGTTACTCATGTTTAAAACGAACATAGGTATTACAAATAAAGTTGGTACCTTGTTGAGGTTAGGATTTTAGCAAATTTTTAGTTAATTTAAACAAATTCTAAATAGAATCTGTTAATGGTGATTGATTTGAAAACACTAACACACAACAAGTACTTATATGCGTCTAAATTTAAAAAAAACATTAATGAAA